CACCACCAAAAGAAAAGGAAAGAAATAAAAAGAGTACCATATCATGAACACAAGAAAAGATAAAATTTGAGTTACCAAAAAATGCCACTTTCAGAGGGAAACTAACACACAATTGATTTTTTTTCTTTTTTTTTAAGATTACATGGGGAGAATAAAAAAAATTAATGCATACTACAGGTTAATTTAACCCTTACATCATCCTCAGTCCATTATCAATTGAACAATTAGTTTGATAGTAAGCAAAACTAAGCTATTCTGTTTAGTGCTCTGTTTTCCACTTAAAAGAAGGAAAGGAAAAGGGGTAAAAAACAGAATGACCATCTCAATAAAATAAGATGATAAAATAAATTGAGTTACCAGGATAGTGCAACGTGTTAAGGAATATAACCAGATAATTGGTTTGATAATTGATACTAGGAAAAACTATGCTATCTAACATGAAGTATGAGATAAAAATCCCCCCATCCCTTATGGACCACAAATTGATAGCATCCACAGTAGAGTCTATATCTTAAGTCAGACCAAGATGCCCTGAGATAGTGAGCCTATCAAACTTTGATTTGCTCATCTGTAAATGTGATCAACATGGTAATGTGACATGCCAGAGATTAATAGAATATCTTATCAGACATGGAAATCACATCAATCTGGTTTCCTCAACCTTTTGGCTCTTATTCTAGTATTTATTTCTTTGAGTCCATTGTTCCCTATCCCTCGACAAAGGGAGAGTGATTTCTTCTGTGCATGCTAATAAAAACTCCTGGGATCTGGGATTAAGGAGAGGGTTAAGGGAACCTGAAATGGGCCTAGTAGATGATCTCATTTCCCTTCTTAGTAGTGCTTTCTTGGACCCTTCTTGTCAGGACACAAGGTTTTGGTCAGTGTCCCCTTCTGGCTCTTTTACCTGTGATTCCTTTTACTCTGCCCTCCTTCAATCCTCACACTCGGTAGTTTCCTTCCCTACAAGCGATGTTTGGTGTAATCCTGTACCCCCCAAAATAAGAGCCTTTGCTGGACGGTGGTGCTCCAGAATATCAATACTATGGATAAATTACAAAAAAAGGAGGCCAAATCACTGCCTCTCTCCTCATGCTTGGGAAATGGTGACACAATTACACATTTTACTATCTTGTCCGTTTGCTTCTTTTGTGTGGACTTGGTTTTCTTTCCTATTTGGTTGTAGGTGGACCCCTCCCCCGGATGTGGTAAGCCTTTTTGACCCAAGTTTCTTCACACTATCAAAGAAAAGGGGTAAAGTGATGTGAAGGGAAACAAGAGCAGCCATCCTTTGGAGGAAAGGAACAACGGAATCTTCCAAGGGGTAGAAAATTAAACTTTGACAGAAGTTCCTTTGGTAATCCAGGACCCTCTGGAGCTGGGGGAGTCTTCAGGCATGGGGAGGGTAGACTGATGGCACTATATTCTGGTCTCATAGGTGTGGAAGACTGACTCTCTGAGAGCTGAAATTATGGTTCTACTACAAGGCTTGGGATTGGCCAAGCAATGGGGATTTCAAAACATTGAGGTAGAGGGAGATTCTAAACTGTTATAGGATGGGTGCAAACAAAAATTCTGGGTGTATGGACTTTTAGACAACAAATAAGGGAAATACTTTGCTTAGCAAGGGAGGCTGGGGTAATTTTCAAATGGGTAAGGAGGTCAGCCAACTCTGTGGCTGATAGTTTGGCAAAGCAGGGGGGCCTTCAGGGAGAACTTTTTGGGCTGTATTGTAACTTTCGAACTTGATTGCAGTCAACACTCATTTTCTGAGTGGTTGACAGTGTAATATGATGGTTAATTACTATTTTTAATGAAAGCCACTGTTTCCAATAAAAAAATGGCAAAGAAGCAGGCACTTGTAGATTTCTATTTATTGCTGCATCATGTGGCTGAGAATTGAGGGGGGGGGGGGGGGCAGAAAAAGATCTCCTATTTGAAACAAGGAAGCTATAGAACTTCTTGGGAGTTTGAGCTCTTTATAATAGTTTTAAAAGATCTAAACAGAGAACAGGTAGAGAAGGTTTGAAGAGTTGGTTGGGTCTTCTCTCACTGATGTGACAACATCAGTTTTCCAATAAGAAAACCATGGCATCAGTGTGTTACAGCCAGTGCTGCATGGACTCTTCTAAATGGGTGATGTGTTTGTGTTGGACACGTCAGCTTCTGACACTGTGGATTCTTGAGGAATGCTTCTACATAACATTTCCTTTTTATTCCCTAGCTTATTTGAAAAAAAAAAAAATGAACAGCTAATGTACAAGATGATTGCTATTTTTCATATTTAATGTTACTTACTAACAAAGGCAACATTTAGACCCCTTTTATTTTAAGTATATAATTTTAGAATTTGGAAAAAGCTATTTAATAGCATGCAATTTTCCATTGTTCACAAATCCATATTTTCTTGTTGAGTCAACTCTTGGACACACATCAGATTCTGACTCTCATGTTTGTGTTCATGCAACATTGGTCATAGCTTTAGTAAAGATATATGCAAGTTGGAAGCCTATAGCTATTTGAGGAAAGTAATAACCCCAACAAGGACTTAATTACATATAAAGTGGCAGTTCACTTCAATGTGTTTGGTGTACTCATAGAAAACCCAGTTTGAAGTGATCTTGATGGAACACATATTATCAGGATACAAAGCAATCAAAAAGGTAAATGAAATGTTGAGGTCAGTAAACAGTAGCCTGAGCTAAATAATTTCACCGCAAGTTGATGACATGACACTGTATTCAGCTTTTGATTAGAATTTAGAAACAGTATGCAGCTTCTTACGCTTCCAAGAAATTAGAGAGCAACCAAGGACAATACATCAGCTTGTAGCATGGCAATAAGTATCAAGGCATCTTGTCCAATTGGCATTAGCATAGACTTGAAAGCTAAAGGGGTGTTGAACAGGGGAAAAATAATCACCTGGGTCATAGGTGATGAATGATCTTGTAAACTGTAGAGAGGTGAGATCAACATAGAGTTGATACAAATTGACTCACAACTTGGACAACATAAGAGATGTTTGGGTGAGTTATAGTGAGAGTGCGAGATAGATAAGGCTCCCAACAAGCTGACAATAAAGAGTAGCACTCATCAACAAATTACCACCATCCTTAGAATATTTCACATTAAGCTCCATGGTTGTATCAACATATTTCTCATTAGTTAGGTCTGCTGGTCTGATTAAATCCATGGCACACTCCCTCTGGTATGAAAGGTCAGAAGTTCCGGTTGTTTCTGTGATAAAACAACATTAAAAACACCAGAAGCACAGAATGAGAGGTATGAAAGAAAATAAAATCTATAAAATTCCTAGAGAAAAGATTCTGTGTCTCAACTGTTCCACCTAGAGTTTCCTTTTTAATGTGGGAACCTATTCATGGAAAGATTAACACCAGGGACCTGCAACAAGGGAAAAGTATTGGATACTACACATTCCCCATGCATGCATGATGTGCCTTTGGGATGGGAAACCAACCACATGTTTACTTCTTGATTGCATAGTAAGTAGACTTCTTTTTGGACTTGGTGAAAGTGTGGGATATTACAAATAGGTGGCCCAAGCAGCATCACAGATATGTGAAGCTATTTTATAGGGTATAGACTTATTTAAAGGGAAAATATAATGGAAACACATAATATAGTCTGGGGGAAGAAAGAAATAGGCACACTTTTGATAATGTAGAGGCATTTTATATTGCTTTAAGAGGCTGAGTTCTTTTTTTCTTCTTAGATCATGGATGCTGGCAACAAGGCAATTTTGAAGGCATTTCATATGCTGATTTGAGAAGGAATCTAACTGAAATCCTTCAATTATCTCCTGGTGGCCTGCCTAGGAAATCTAACATAGCTACCACATCCAGCACCCCTGAACAGAGAGTAAATTTCAATTCTATAGAAGCTTTAAAGGGAACTATGACCAACTGGGATTTGAATGATCTTTCTTAAGGGCTGATGGAGCACTTTTTTTTTGGCAACTAGTCATCCCATAGGAGATCCAGACTCCATAAAAGCAGAACTCACAACCCTTCTAATAGAAATTTGAATTGCCATGTGGTATCATATTTCTTCATTTTGAATTGAAGGGAATTTGGCAGAGCTGCCAAAATGTGGGAAGTGGGCCTTGAAGTCTAGTTCACCTAATTAATGAAATTCAGTATATCTTGGCTATCATGAAAGTTCAGATAAGATCAATTTGTAGAGAACTGAATTAGGCAGTGGATGGTATTGATAATGCAGAGATGTGCACTAAAGAGTAGAGAGGGTTTTCCCTTGCAATGACAGCTCCATTCTGTATTATAATTTTTCGGTAGTGGGTGAAGCTTGTTTCCCATATATTGTGTGTAATGTACATATTCTCATGTTCTCTTGCTTTTCATGATTCCCAACTTATATCCAAAATAAAACCTGAAATTAAATGATTTGTGCACAGTGCTAGACTGCTAGGTAGTAAATGGAGGAGGAAATCCTTTGGATTAACATGGTAGGGTGACAAAATTTTGATAAGAAAGCATCCTCCAGTAGAATAAACTTATACAAACTTAATAGGTCTCTTTAAATGAAAATGGTACTAAAGAAAGGAAGCCTGAATTCAAACATAAGAATAATAAAGAAATGATCTACTGAGATGTGTAAAGCTCTGAAGAAGCATTTTCTACTACAAAAATACCAAAGTTGGTAATGAAAAGCCTACTTCTATCATTTTCAACATTTAATATCTTTTGGATAAGTTCTCAATTGATTGGGACCTCATAAAAGTCCAGGTATTGCAAAGGTATGGAAGAGCAAATTATAATTCCCTTGGATTACATTCCAACCAAGAATGATAGAAAACAGACATAATCGAACATTAACACCTGGAAGGTACATACTAGAATTTGGGCATCAAATTGAATGCCTTCTGTCTAAATGAAAAGCCCAAAAAAAAATCAATTTGTGACAGGATTCAATATCAGTAAGTGGGGTAAAAGTATGAGATACTAACATCACTGGTAAAGACATACCATTGCAATGATGAAACCTAACATGGGTTTAATAAAGTACTGAGCCAAAAATCCTACACCCACCTGCAAACAGAAGAGTTAACTAGTTTTGAATGGGTTAAATGAAAAGGAATTAGCAATATAGCAACAGGCATTAGCTTAGTGCTGGGGATACTTCAAAGGATCCACAAAGAGGTTAGATTCTTACAGTCCATGGATTGCGCAGACACCGTCTGAAATCCTCAAATGTCAAGGTCAATCCCATCGAAAGCATGAGGAAACCCAAACCTACAGTGAAAAGGTCTGTTTCCAACCAAGTGACCTGCAGGAGGACCCAGGAGATTAAGTATTTAAGCAATTTGAGTTTTGGACTCACAAAATTCATTCAATGTTTCAATTAGATGAAAATCTAGATTCATTGATGTAGTTGGAAAAGTCAGATTGATGACATTACCGCAGCTGGCTTATATATACCAATAATTGTGCCCAATATGACCTGTCAAAAAGAAATGAATAATGAGAAAACTTGTCTTCACCAAACAATTTTTTAAATGAAAACTGAAAATTTAACTGGTAAATGAGAAGGGAGGAGTTGAATTCCATCCAAGAATTTATAAGAAATGCTAGTACGAAACATACCCACACAGGAAAAAGAGTTGTTAATGTTTCAATTATTCTCTCATATTTGCTCATTCCACTGGGAGTGCTACTAGGAACCTCTCCAGATACATTTTCTGCTGCTCTGCATAGTACTTGATTGCTTCTGCCGGATAACACAAAGCAAATTATTAGTGGAATGCGATGGTCATTAAACATTATGCCAAAGCACAAAAACATAATTTCCAGTTTCAGTGAACAAAGATCTAATAATGTGGTCACACACAAGTACCGAGTTTTGGTATAAGAACAGAAAACAATCGAAAGCATGTCAATCAATCCATATTGAAGCATACCGTGAAGCATGAGCAATTAAGGAAGGGGACGAGGAAGCAACAATAGGACTCCCAACAATGTTTAGAACAATCTGAGTTCCGTTATTGGATACTGAGCCGCTTCTCAAGTCTACTAAAAAATTGAAGACGGGAAGAGCATGAAAAAGAGAAGAACAGCAGATCGTATAAGAATCTATCATAGTACTCTCAAACAATCTAGATCACAGTATATACTCAAATAAGTAAAACCCAACATCGCAGGCGTAATTGCAAAGTCAACTAAACAGACATTACATATAAAAGTAAGAATAAATGCACATACTCAAATGGGTTTGAAGTCCGTTGACAGAAGAACAAGAGGTTCGTCTGTGAAGACCACTTGGTATCTTTAGTTTAGTATCTTTCAGAACAAATCTAGACATGGAACCCATTGAAGAAGCCATGATAAAAGAGAGCAACCTTAACCAGAACAAATAATGATGGTGAAGATGATCAAATAGATGATGGGTTCTTCTTGTTCATTGGGAATAAGAAATCATGGCTTTGCTGTGACTAAGCGAAGAGGGCAGGAGACGGAGAGAGACAATGATTGGCTCCAAAATTGTTGTTGTGGATGGTTCATCAGCCGTGGAGACCGATGAACCACACAGATTAGCTCATGCCAGGTCACGATCACACACTTGACTGTGAAAACTGAAAAGTCTCTTTGTTGTGTCGTTACTGAGCTCCAGGAATCCCGATTAAGTGCCATTGATCTTGACTCAGGTTGGAATCTTCAGAGCCGTAAATTGTTATTTGCAATTGCAAATGGTACAATGAATCATTGAATACGTTAATGGCACGAGTCCTCTCCTTATGTTGGATTTTTTATTTATTTTCTGAAAGGCTTAATCTTTTATCAGCTGTTCTAAAATCTTCACTCACTTGTCACTTCACTGAAATTTTTTAGGCGTAAAAATAAATTTAAATTTCCCCTAATTAAATTTATGTTTTACCCCTAATTAATCTTTTATTAGATTCTTTCACCTACTGTACAAACTTTCCTCACATTTATTATGTACTTCCAAAAATCCTGCTACCTTTATCACATAACTACCTTCTGTCCGATAGAAATCATTACAGAAATGGCTCACATGCATTATTATACATTTTCTCAAAACGTTTTCTTGACTCAATATGGTTGCTTTCCTTTCAAAAAAATGTAATTTGAACCACTAATTTTTAATTAATATGATTTTTTTTATAAACCATTTTTTGTTCTCTCTATATGGTGGATCAATGGTTCAATCACCTAAATTATTATGTTATATAATTAAACAATAAAATATAAAATATAAAATATTTTAGAGCATACCTTTAATATTATATGTTTATCATATTAAACAAAAATTAATTTATTAATGATAAAGATAAAATACAAAATTTAAAACCAACTCAGAAATAAGTCAAATGAGTCAACACATGATGCATTTATTAATGATGAATAATTAAACAAAAATAAGTGGTGTAACAAATGAAAAAATATCAATTGAGGGAAGAGAAGAGAGGTTTTAGATAATTTCCCTATTCTTTAGTATGGTTTTATAAGTTATAACAGGATAGGAAAAGAATATGTCTTAGTAGAAAGTTGGAGACGCTCAATTTGAGTTAGGTATTCAAAGGCCTCAGCCCAAAAGCAAACAGGAACTGGATCAAACCCGAGTTTGAGAATCCAGGCCCAACCCTAGAGGTTGAGAATTCAAGCCCAACATGTACAAAAAGCTAGGGTTTGGCCCACTTAAGTTGCACCCTTTTTTCCAACTGCCATGGTGTTGGTGGGCACATGGAATTTATGGTTGAATGCATCCTTTCTCTCCAAACTTTGTATATTTGTATAGAATACACCATAGATTTTGTTCAATTTAATTAATTAGAATAGTGAATTGGGTTAGAAACTAGAATGATTGGCCTGGGAACTGAACTTTGCTTACTAGGGGATGTTTGGAACTGTGGCCGTTTTTCAAAAAAATGGTGCCATGTCGGATCCACATAGGCGTTTCAACAAATGCCCATGTATCTCATTGTTTGGTTAAGCCGATTATTAAAAAATTGGGACCTCACCAACGGTGAGCCGTTTCCCCCAACGGTTGACTGATATGTATCCTATGTGGTGCTTACCTGTCAGCACATACATGAAAAACGGTGATGAAAATCACCTTACCAAATAGCATAGTGTTGCTCACTGCCTATGTGGCAGAAGCGTTTTTTTGTGAAAAACGGATCTTGAAAACATAGACGTTTTTTCTTGAAAATCGGTTCCAAAAAATGCCCACATTTCCAAACACCATATAAGTTAAGTTAGAAGACAAATGCATCCGTTCATCACTTCATCTATGTCCTTCAATTTCTCCATTTGTACGAATCTTCTTGTAGAAAAACGAAGATATCGTCCTTTTTAAGGACAAAAGGATATCATACTTGATACAGTTACGAACTCTAAGGCATTGTGCCATTGGAACTATTGATTCAATTGTGCAGGTTATAGAGTCTTAATTCCTCTAAAATATTCAATCCTCCACCCAAAGCTGTGTTCTTGGACAGTTGGACCCAGACGGCCGGCCAGACCGACTGTTTGGTCTGACTGGTTGTTCTGCGACCATCGAGACTTATAAACCCGCGGCCGGAAGGAAGAAGAATCACTAATTACTAATAATAAGCAAGGTTCACAATTTTGATACGGGCTTTTGAGGTTTAGATCAATTTCAGGGGATAAGCAGGTCTAAAACAGCTGACCTTTATTAATTACTTTTTGGAAAAAAAAAAGACTAAAAAAAGGAACACATGTAATTAAAACATCAGATGGTCATTATCAATATATTGGAGTGTATGGATATTTTAAACCTTAATAGCAAATATAAGAGAGGGATCCATACCCTTTTCATGATTTGAGCTTCTCAAATTGATTGTCTGGTCTATTGTTTGATACGGATTCTAACGACAATTGACAGGTGATGAGTGGATGGGGGTTAGTTAATTATCTTTTGGGCATTCCTTCGCTCTTCCACCCAACAAGTTTCAGCAATGATCCTATCTCTGCAATTTGTTACACTTAAAATTGAACTTCTCTTTTGCTTTCTTTTTGTTTAGTTGAAAATTAATTCTCAAGAAATTCAAATGTTCTGTTTCTTGGTTAATACATACAAGTACAAACCTCTAAGGGGCTGAGATTGGTGAACCTAGCTGGATTATTTCAATCCAACCCTCATGAGGGTGAATTATTGATGATTCTACCACTAATATAGCTTAAAATCAATACACAAGTTAAACACTTGAAATTTTCAAATACCAAGTTTTTCTTTCTTCATTGTTCATTCCAGCAAACCCTAAGCTTTTGCTATTGCAACTCTCAAATAAGAGACAAGGTTTTCTTTTCTTTTGTAATACATCTCAATTCTCAAGGACTAAGATTAATGGACCCATCTGCCCCCACCCCTCATTTGTCAGAAAAGCCATGTCTGCATCTGCATGGAAGAGGACGTACGTCTTTGTGCAGCCTCACTTCCCCACAAACACAAACACAAACCCAAGAAAGTAACACATTGTACTACACATGTACTGCAATTACATGGTGGAACAAAAATCTTTTTGTACTAGAAAATTAACGATCAAATTAATATATATATATATATATATATATATATTAATCTTCCCTTGTCAAATTTCATTAATTAATCACCATCAAACAAATGGTGACGCTGTTTATTACATGGAATATTGGAAGTAACATCAATAAATATCTTCCAAAGAGATTAAGCTTTGATCATCTGATCAAAGTTCAATTTACTACTACTATACAGTAACATGTTTAACGTATGCAGCATTATAAATGGACTAATTAAATGAGTATACACCAGAGCTTTTCATTTGGTTGAGGTTTAATTTCATCACATTTACATGGTATAACAATTGCTGCTATTAGCAGCTCTAATGGTGATGGCCTTCACCGGCGGTGCAGCAACCCGAGAAAGGTCCACGCTTTCCCACCGGCGCTGAGCCGACGGTCGTGGAAGGTTCTCCGGGACGACTATCTCCAAAGAATTCACTCGCCACGGCGGGCACATCCTTCTGTCGCTCCATCTCACCACACCCCGCTTAGCTGCTTTTGCCACGGCGGCCTGCTGCAAGTCCTCGGCCTTGGCCTTGCAGCACTCACCGTCACCGCCCAAGTGTCCCATCTCGCAGCTTACCATGATGCAAGCCATAGCCAGAACACATTGCTTTCTCCATGATCCCTCCTTCGTCGGCCTGCTTAGGTTGAGAAAATTAAACAAAAAGAAGAGAATCAGAAACCCAACGGAAATTAGTCTCTCTCCCCTCTTACCAACGAAATCAAAGATGATGTAAAACAAGACCCATGTTGGCATAATTAAAAGAACACCCACCAAATTCTACCCTTGATTTCTATGAAAAAAAATTGTCGCATACCATGAAATATGATTAGATTTGGAGGGGTGCAACGCCGGAGCTGAGGGAGTGGCCGGAGGAGGCTTGCTGCCTGGAGTGATCGGAGGGGAGAAGTTGAGAAAGCAAGTGCTAGAAACTGCCATCTCCTTCTTCTTCTGTTCGTTATGCTTCAAAATCGTCAGGGTATAAATAGTGTCAAGAGGGGAAAGAATCAACTATCAAGGCAGGAAAGTTGAGTGAATTGCCTAGAGAGAGAGAGAGAGTAATAAAATCTTGAAAAGGGGAAGTGAATGGTCATCTCACGGTATTGAGACAAGGACCTCGACGGCCCATTGCGTGACCAACACGTGGGCTGGGCCCTACAATCAATTTTGCACTTTTATTGCTTGCCGTCTAACAATATACTTCTCCTGTACAACACGATACAAATACAAGTCACGAGAGAGAAGAGACAGTTTGGACTTTGGACTTTGGAGAGGTCAAGAAAAGAAACCCAATAGCCTACGGCCAGCCGGCCCAGCCCTTTTGCTTTTGGGTTGACCCCTTCATAGTTCATACTGCAGTTTATTTTGACCCAATAAGCCCATTCCGTCGTTCTTCCTGTCCTGCTCTTTTTCTTGGGTCTGGGGGTCATCTAATTTCTGAATTGATTCGGTTCATCTTTGAACCTTCTCAGTTGCATAGTTGCGCATATGCCAGAAAAAAATATGGGCCTGGTTCGGACTCAGATCCAGTCCATTGAAACCTTTAAGAGGTTCACACGCCAACTACTAGTACATACAAGACTACAAGTTGAGGTCTTGGCCGGTGGTCCAGGTCTTGGTTGAGTTGAGGTAGCCCATAAGCTATACCAACCAAGGAACATCCAAAATGCATGCATAATCCAGCCTATGGACCTGGAGCCTGGAGCCTGGAGGCTGAGCTGGAGCAAATTGGGGAAAGGTTAGTAGTAGTCACCCACCTCAGTGGGTCCAGTGAATGTGATTTTTGGCCCAACATCTTACATCTCATGGGCCAGCATCGTGCAGATATTTCAGATCTCTAACTTAGAGCCCACCACGGCACCACTCAGATTCAACATCGGTCTAGCCTGACTCTGCATTCACTTGCCTACTTTGGACCCAGGGTGAGAATCTCTCAGAAACCAATTGCAAATTGGTTTTACTTCTAGAGAAAACTGTTTTTAATTGCGACTCAGAAAGGTCACTGGGTCACCAGTTCAATCATCCGGTCTGGTTCGAGTCTTAGAACACTGATTTTTCTTTTTCTTTTATTTATTTATTTATTTATTTTGTTCAGACTTCAGAGAGAGATTTGGGGGGGGGGGAGACATTCACTCCAACTCTTAAAACAACTCTGATCTGATAACCCATTACTAATCCTAATGAAACTAAGCAAGCCAAAGACAAATCCAAGATAAACCCCCAAAATAAAAACATTTTAATTTTGTTCTGCAGATACAACACCATTTTCTCATGCTGTTGTGTGGGTTGAAATTATCTTTTCTGAGAAAATATTATTTAGAAACGTTGTTGTTAGGTAGGATGTTTCCTAGAGCAACAACAATACTTTTTGTTTGGTACCAGTGCTCTATATTTGTTTTCAGCACTGTACTCATTATAGGAAGTCTGCTTCACTGCCACATTACGTTCTTATTGGCAGCAATGGGCTCCAATCTGAAGAAACATAAAATTCGGCGTTGCTTCAAACCACGCTTTCTCGATTTTCAAGACATAACTTGAATCACCGTTTTTTATGGAAAAATAGTTCCAAACATATTGACATTTCCTGGAGCACCGTTTTTTTTTTTATATGACACTAACGTATCACCATTTTCTGGAGCAACGGCATCGTGCCAAACAGACGCCAGATCTAGGTTTTGTTGAAAAATCTAAATATCCTCTAAGTAAAACTCTTCAAACTATTATTCCTAAGACACTAATAAACCAGCTAATAACGATCAAAAGATCCAAATTGACTAAAATTATAATAATCAAAATTATTACATTGCACTGGTTTAAGAATGGAAAAGTAATTACAAGAATGCAAATGCAATTATAAAACCAATAAAGTTTTTTTTTTTTTTTTTCAAAACAAAAAAAGATTGTAAAGTAATTTGATTTCTTCTTACATAGTTTCCTATACTTTTTCCACATTTGCATCAGACATACCCCTAGTCATTTTATATTCACAATACAGTTAATACATGTACAAACTCAAAGAAAACATCAATGCTAACTTCTACACAGTTTTGTCATTTTGGCTCAGTTTGAAAGGAGTATAAATGCAAATTTGTAAAGTAATGTAAAATCTTGTATTTTGTATGTATTTATATTTCTTCCAAACTGAGCCATGAAAGGAATATAAATATAAATTTGTAGAATACAAAATCTTGAATTTTGTATTATTTTATATATATTTGTACTGAGCCTTTGGAAAAATTCCATGTGGAATTCAAAGGGAAGTATAATTTTTGAAAATCACAGTTCTATTGCAAACCGCAGAGAAGGTTGAATTGAATCATGAATCACATAGTTAAATTATAAGACTATTTCTGACTTTCTGAAAAAATTCAAGAAATTAAAAAGCATATATACCGGAAATTTACGTATATAAATAAATGTGATTTTACCCCATTTACAACTCATAGGTACCAATATAACCCACATACAATGCTTATTTAACCTGCATTTGATGGAAAATAAACGCAATAAGATTTTAAAAGGGTCTGAAATAATCTAAATAAATCTTAGTCAAATTTCTGAAACAAGATTCCCTTGAAGGAAATTAAAACAAACAAAGGAATGATAAAGTAGAAATCTAGGACTAAAATTGAATTGATTCATATTGCACAAATCGTATAAATCATAGATTGAATCAAATCATAATATTCAAATAGTAATTGAATCCAAAACAAATAGAAAATCAAAAGAAAACGGATGCGCCACAAAGGGATCCAGAATCCAAAACAAATAGAAAATCGTTGTGCTGCTCATTCCACAAAATCAATTAAAATCATCCAGTTATCTAGCAATCACAACCAAAAATCCCCATTAAACCAAATAAAAAAAAAAAAAAAATCAACCAAACACCAAGATTCCCAATGAAGATCTGAAACGCATTACAGTGAAGAACCAAAGGAGTGAAATAAGAACACTAAAATCTTCTAAATCATCTAAACATGAGAAATAAACAATTACTACTCTGACCAATCGTACAACAATGTGATGGTGACAAGGGAAGCAACAATGTGACGGATGAAGTTCAGCTTGTTAGTGATAAGGAGAGAGGTTCAGTTGAAGCAACAGCAGCAGCGATGAGTTCACAGTGATCGGAGGGTGGTGGGTTTCTCTGTAAGCCTGTATGGTCTTTTCCTGTTTCCTCTAAAAGAATGAAAATTCGAATAATCTTTTTTCTCCCTTCAAGTTCAACAGCCATTGATTTGGCGCGCTTTTTGGCAGTTTTTGCGGCGAATATCGAGGGTAATTTATCCAACGTTGAAAGGACCCAACTGTATCTCGCACATTGACTCGAACTCTCGACGTCTCGAACACCGACTCTCTCTCTGCCTGAAAAGATGGAGAAGCAATGGGCTTATTTCTGCTGTGCCCCCCGGAAACCCTCAAAGCTGTTCTGCAAATCTTTGCTTACGGGCACACAGTATGCAGCAATAATAACACCAAACACAAGAGTTTCCCTTGGTTGTTCTTAAAGCCATGGAACAACGAAACCCCTAGGGCAGAGAATGCAAATGGTGGACAGCGATGGAGGGAAGTAAAGGTGGGGAGCATAATGGCAGCTCGAGTGAGAGTCGGCCTCCGAATCCTCTTGCTGGAGCATATTCTCAGTGTATCAGCAGTAACCGTGTTGCATTATCCTGTAAAAACTAAAAAGTCACTTGTTCGTCATCCATCTCTTGTAAGTCCCTTGCAAAGTTTCTCTTTTAATAATTTGATGAACTAGATTAGCTCTTTTCCTTTGTTGTTCTCATTTTATCAACTTCCACATTTTAGCATGAAATCCTAGATGTTTTCAAGGTTCTCAGTTCCTGCTTGCACTGCGTATGGTTATGTGGTAGTTATTTGATTTCAGAAGCCTTAAGAGGTTCTTTATGATTGCCAATCATAAGTCATAACATGGAGTTTGGACAACAAAACTGTAGCTGGGTTCTTCCAATTTTTTTCTTGCAATAGTGATTCCATCTCACAACTCAATTCTGATTGGACTATCTTTTGCAAAGGAACAACGGGATTTCTTTGTGGATCCTTGCATTTCTTAATAAGTTTCTGACATCTCCAAATCATCTAACATCTAAATTTTTCCTATTGAAATCTATTTCATGAAAAATTTAACCTGGTTCCTTTCAGGTGGATCAAAAAGACTAGTAATTTCTTGTTGATTGGATTATTAGTTATGAAGCACAAGTTGCTAGGTCTCTCATTTTGTCTACTTGAAGTGAAGATTTTACAGCAGAGACCTATAGGAATAGGAGAAAGAGGAGTGGAGAGGTGTTGGGTTCATTGTGGATTCTTGTTTAGGATCGGAAAGGAATTCAACTAAAGTAGCATTTGGGGGCTAAAGTGTGTAGTTCCAATGAAGCCTTGGGGTCATCACTTCCCCCTGTTTTGAAGAGGGGAGATTGATTTCCTTAGGATTTTGAAATGTAATATATTGGAGCTATGAGTTATGAAAGGATGTCAATTAAAAAAGCTGGAACACAACACATACAAGGTCCACTGGGAGCAAAAAATTGAGAATAAAGAGAGGGTCATCTTCTAGTAGTAGAGGAAGAGGAAGGCGGAGTAGGGGATAGAAATGATATTGCTAGGCGGATTCTGTGTGTGTGAGAGGGTGGATATGTGTTCAAGGATCTGAGAGTGAGATATTGATTGAGAGCGCAAGATGAGGGTGATCTTGCAAAGCTGAGCAAACCTCTCATAAGGATCTTGCCTTACAAATGAGTATCGCAGAGAGTCGGTCTTGCAAAGTTAAATAAGAGTCTTTCGAGGCTTGCAGTATCCTGCCAATGGGAGAGAAAAATGATCTTGTTAAACAACCATAAAAAAAACCATGATCTTGCTAAACCAAGTGAGATCCAATAACAACAAAGCAAAGGATCTTGCGGATTGAGATTAATACGATCTCGCTAAGCCTAGCTAGATCCAAAGTCAAGGAGTAAGTGATCTCGTTAAGAGGAGGAGTCTTGCCATAGCTCATGTTAAAGGGGTCTCATGTGAGACCCATATT